TTCAGCTTTGCTGCATAACCCAATCCTTGCCGCACAAACACATCTTTCCCGGCCACCGCAACCAAAACTTTCTCACAACCCAACCCAGAAAAATCCGACCCGGATCCGACTACGTTAAACAACGGATCATCCGTACCATCAACACTATTCGGACTCGCGAGTTTCTCCCAAACTTCTGCAATTCGGTTTCTATGTTCTCGATCTTGCACATCGTGTTCATCTACTGGATCTCTTCCCCAGAAAGCTGGATGAACAATCATAACCCCTTTGATTCTTGTGTCAAGCTTCTCTTCACCGGCTTTAATGGCCATGTGATGCGACATATTAGCTCCAGCGCTATCTCCGGCGAGAAAAACTCTGTTAAAATCTGCGTATTCGTTAATCCAGTCTTCGAACCCAGATCCATCGGAATGAGAGAAAACCCATTTAATCGCTGACCATGAATCGTCATACGCCGCCGGAATCGGATCTTCCGGTGCACGACGGTACTGAACCGATACGGCGAGGCAATTAGCCGATTTGACTACCTCCGTGAGGAAATTGTGGTAGATTGGAGAGAAAGGAGATCCGATGATCCAAGCTCCGCCGTGTATGTAGACAAGTAAAGGGAGTTTGTTGTTACCGGCGGCGATGGATTTGTGGGGGAGAAAGAGACGAACGGAGAGGTTTAGTTCCGGTGAGTATACGATGTCTTTAGAAACCACGCCGTTTTGTGGGTTTAGAGACGCCGGGACGGTTTCGGTGCCGGAAAGACGCTCGACATGACCGTCTTTGTAAATCCGAACGAACGGAGGATGCTCGGAGACGAGATCAGATGAAGAGTGTGAACAAATACAACGAAGAGTGGTTGGAGTGACTTTCCGGCGTAGGTGGTGACGGGATACGTCGACGGAGATCGGTGAGTATTGTAGAGATAGGGAAGAGCAGTGTAGTTTTCGAAAGAAGTGGAACAAGAGAGAATGTGAAGAGGAACAAGTAAGTCTTCGGAGCATGGCTACCGGAATATCTTCTCCGGCGAAGATTTGGTAGTGTCGGCGAGAATGCACCTTTTTTGGTTAGGGATTTGGATAGAAAAATAACACCTTTTGTCCCTAGAATAAAATAATGATATTTTTGTGATACATGCGGAATTTTGGTACCATTTTATCATTTGAACAGCGATTACAGATATAATTTTGAAAAAACACCGAAATTTACAAACAGTGACAAAATTACAAGAAACAAATATAAAACAAATAAAATTCGAATAAGGTAGACACACTTTAGCAAATCCAAAAGATTCCTAAAATTACAAGAAACAAATAAACCAAATAAAATTCGAATAAGATAGACACACGCCTTATCAAATCGAAAGGATTCCTAC